TTTTTCTAGTAAATTTGCTAAGTCAATTTATTGAGTTCGATGTCTTGTTGGGTACAAAGTATTTCGCTCAATTTATATATATTTAAGGTCAGTTTTATTACTTGTGGATTATCACCAACATAAAGTTGATGCATTGATTTTATAGACATGTATTTTAGTATTACTAAAATTTACTTGCTATTTTATAAGCTTATATTATATAAGCTTAAATAGATTATTTTAAATTTTGTCTTTTTTACAATTTCATTTTACAATTACTAAAAACTAATTCGACTATAAAGAAACTATAAACAATTTAAATAAATAAAAAAAATCCTAAATCCTGCAAATTTTAAATATTGTGTTTATGAGCTTTAGCATTGCAACCTGCCATTCGCATTCCCTTAAATAATTCATTAACTTTTCAATGTTAATTTTGAAATAATTCTATTAACTTATAACTATATTTATATGTATTTTCACAAAATATCTATTCTCTTGGGTAAAAAGTTTTGTATAAACACACAAAAATTAAATTTTGCCTTCATCGTGATATTTTGTTTTATTTTCCAATCGCTTGGGAGCACATTATCTTAGTTAATAATGCAAAAATGTAATGAAATTAATTATTTTGAATTTTTTATTAATTAAAAAAAATGTATTGAATGTTAATTCAATATTAATATCAAAACAAAAATTTATATGCGTCATAATGCAAATGTCAATAATTCAAAGGAAAATTAGCATTATCGTTAATTTAAGTTATTATAAAATATCACAATAGTCGGAAAGATACATTTACTGTGGACCTAAGTTAACACCCGCGTCCTGTCAAATCCGACCCCTACGCTTAGTTTCATCAACGGCATAATCATGCCTGATTGCTACTAAATGGGACGTCAACTTATGTGTCTGGAAAAGTCCCATTCGGCCTTCGTTGCTCTAAACCTGACAATCGAACTCATTCATTTTTACTTGGGTTATCGAAGAAAGTACACGCAGAATTTTAATATCGTTCTAATATAATTATTAACTGGCGCCCAAGCTTAAAAACCTAAATGAGTAACCAAGTGAAATTGTATATATTATTAACTCCTATACCGAACCAGAAGAGAGGTGGTTCGCGCCGGGATCCGTATAATGGAGACCCATGTATGTGAAGAACATCATATTTCATCTAAAAATCGTTATCATTAAGTTTAAGATATTATAGTAATTTCTTATGCTGAAATAAAATTAAGAGCTGTTATATTTTTTAATTATTGGTGTTTTCTTGCATCACAGTGGGTTTATACTGATAAATCGGACAAGTTTACCTCTAATCTTTGCATGTTGATATAAATTTATTAATTATTGCCTATTTAAGAGCAAATATCCCACAGATGATTAATTTTTGCATGCTTATAAAAACTATTATATATTTTTTACAAACAATACTTATTGAAAATTTCAAATATTTATTTACAAGATGTACATATATACCATGATTGAATATATTATTATTTAAACAAAAATTTAGTGTTTAAGAATGCATACCTAATTTTTTTTTTTTAATTCAGTAAATGAATTTATATAATTAATTTTAACAAACCTAAAGGCAAATCATTTTAAATTAGTATTTTGATTGGAAGAGTGAATAAACATCAACTTCAGGTTATTGCTTTAGAGAAAAGTAGAATAATATTTCATAAATTTCAGTAAAAATATTTTTAATATTTTCTTAAAATTTCTTTTGATATATTTTTTATTTTGTTGATTTTTATTTTCAATAGTATTTTCTATTATTTTCTACATTTATATGTCAAATGTTGCCACCTTCACTGTTGGCTTCGTTACAACTTTCCTGAGTTCGTGATTTTATTCAACACGGACTTTTTCAAAATTAATAAAAGAAAACAGATTTCGTTATATATTCTCATCTATATTTTGTTTGTTGTTTCTGTTTGTTATTTTTGTGCTTTTTGTAGTGTTTTTATAAAGATTTTAAAATATGCTTAAACATCTGTTGTCCTTTTTGCTTGGTAATTGTCTTTTTGCTGTTGGCACACTTGTTCCTTTCGTGTATTTCAAAAAATCTTTCTATATTTATAAAATGTAGAAGAAACTACGGCACAAGAACACTGCTACAGACACAAATAAAATCAATTCATAATTATAATAAAAACTTTATATTTTTCAAAAATGAAAAATGAATTATCAATTGTTTATTCTTCATAATAATATATTTCTAGTTGATTGTGGAAAACATCAAACACGAGTATTTTATTACAATATACAATTCTTATGTTGCACCTTGATAAGATGATTTTTTATTAAAATCCTTCCTTCTTCCACCAACAAATAAATTCAAATCATTGCGAATATCTAGACAACGATGTTTGCAATTCGCCAAATCTTGAAGTCTGTATAAAGGATACATAATAAAAGTATAGTCTTATGTTATATTCTAGGTAACTAGAAGATTTATGAAGTATGTATTCATTTTAGCAATGAAATTTTAGAAGTTAGCAAAAAAAGAGCTATATTATAAATAAAAAAAATCCTCAGGGACCTCAAGATTGATCCTATCAAAAAATACATAAAGGATAGAGACCTGAAATTATTTACGAAAATTGACATGCTTACCAACACCGCGTTATCGAATCTCAGAATGGTTACAGACTCCTCAAAAAGGTATGCACATTATTGCTTCGTCTGATGTAGTGATACATAAACTAATAATTTAATAATTCAATATAGAAGAAATCTTCGATTTGCTGTATTTTTATTTCAATATTACAAATCAAGAAAATTTAATAACAATATTGATTCTAGGTGCCTTACGGTGACATATCTCCATTAAATGAAGGGGAGACGAAGCTAACGAAAAAGTATCTGAGTGAAAAATATAATATATTATGAGTTAATATGATTTTGAATATTCTATATTAAAAATAGAAAAGAGATTTCATTTCACAATATTTTCATCACCAAAAAACTGTATTCTAGTGCTATAACTTAATAAGGTTTTTTGAAATTTAAAAAGGTTTTAACAATTTTTTTAAGTAAATATTATCAAATAATAACATTAATTTAGCATCTCGTCAAATTAAGACGAACAATTCAAAAAATATCACTCATAATGTTATTTGTTACTAAATTCGAATTGAATTAGATATTTATTTTTACAATGGGGAGTGTCCAATAAAATATCCGCTATAAAAAACTTTTAACCATTCAAGCTCTTAAAAACTTCTTAACAGTACCAGAAATACTTCTCAACCTGTGTTGATAAAAGTAATTCCATTTGAAATTTTTACAAGTTAACTAAATCAACAATCTGATGAATTGTAGCATCACATCAAGAATATTCCTTAATCTTTGTTATTGTCCCTCTTCTATTTTCTGAAACATAATTCAGTATTGAGCGCATTTCTCTGGGTTCTGTATAAACTTGATAATCTTATCAGTCATGTATCTTACTTAATACGATTACTATATCTACATAATGTAAGTTATTGAAAAACCAAACATAAGTTAAAAACAATTTAATATCTTAGTGAACTGAATTGCTGGTTATAGAGTACAATTGCATACGTGGCTCAGTTGCAGCAACAAAATTCAGTTTTGTGTAAAGTTTAAATGAAATTTTTTCCACATTTTTTTTTACATATTTGTTATTCAACAAGGTAAATAGTTGTGCAGGTGACAGTCCATGTTTACACTGAGATAGTTTTTCAAGAAGATACAATAAAGTTGGTGTCCTTTAGCTGTTGCAACATGCTAACAAATATTATAAGAAAAATAATTCAAAAAGTAAAATTTGTTTATTAATATGTTTTTTTTACTACTTGTAAGGGTCATCCTTTATGCAACTTACAAAAAAAAAAAAAAAACATATGCATAGTTATTTAAAACTTTGCGGACAAAAAAATATTTAATTAAATAAATGTATGACTTTTGTAATTCAACGAAACTGAAGTAGTTTCAATTAGTATAATAACTGTATTATTATGCAATTATTTTATATATAAAAGAATTTTAAAAAACATGTTTCATACTCCAAATATGCTAAAACCTAATTAGCGTTAATAAAACTTAATTAGCGTTAATAAATGTACCAAACCATTAAATAAAATATTTGCAATATTTAAGAAAACGCAGATTTAATATTGTATTATTTTAATTGTTCAGAGTACGTTATTATAAACAAAAAATAAGGTCAAGCAAATCAAAGATTTTGTATTAAAATAATATCAACTATAAATAACAGACTTCATTTATACTGTCCACATTTCAATTGGATCAATCCAGACTATTTGAAATCCAGTGAAATCTCGTTTTGTGCTAAAAACATTAAATTTTATTTTCACAAATATCGTTGCTTTGAGAACTATCAAATAATACTTTCTGATTATCAGGATAATGATAATTAAAGATGAGGCTTGGATCAATACATACGATTTGGCAACAATCTATCAATTCAGTGAATACCGTGCTGAAAATCAAGTTAAGACCGAGGAGATCCCGGCAAGGACGTTTCATAATCAAAGTCATGTCAACAGTTTTTTCGACTAACGCTATGTAGTACGTTAGTAATTCTTTCCGTCGAGCCAAATTATTAACAAAGAATATCATTTAGGAGAAACGAAACGTTTATGTTAAGTTATTTGCAAAAAGAAGCCAGTATTATGTCTAGATCATTATGGCTTTTTACATTAAGATAATGCATAATCTCACACTGCATTTATTCTCCGAAGGCATTTATTCAAAAAATCAATGTTTTTAATTTATCACAATTATACAAATTTTCTTTTGATACACTGGTAAAATCACATTATTTAATTTTTATATAGTATATCAAATTTTTTTCTACAAAACAACTATAAACATGTGTATTTGTTTTTGCGGTCCTCCAATCTGTACAGTATTATCCCGCGATCGAATCTGGTCTGGACAGCCATGATTTAGATCTGAATAACCGGCTCATATTTAGTGATGAAAATAGTAAAATATTCTTATAAAGTTTGAAAATTATTGTTTTTTTTATTTTAAATCCATTTTAATCTATCTTTTTATATAATAATATTTCCATAATAACATTGACATTAAAATATATTTTTTTAAGCAGTAGGGGGTGCAGCAGCTGCAAGTCTTGCGTTAAATTCATTCTCAATTTCTTTCAATTGGTTACTCGACTTCTTTACTGCCAAGCTTAAACAACGCATTGTAAACCAGAATGGAATTGTATTATCACAATTCTTTATTTCTTCTTCAGAGTTGGTCAAAATTTCCTCAACTCGTTGATGTAAATCAAGAGGAAATCCTGGTGTTGCTAGCAATTTTTGTGCCTGCGATTGCAATATAACATCATTGAAAAATTGCACTGGTGGATAACCCGTAAAAACAAAGCTGTTTTGAGCCTAATTAGAAATAGAAACAAAAGATTTTTTATATAAAAAAAATGTGTTTCAAATTCATCGGAAGAAAAACTTACTTGTGTAAATGCGAGTGCGCAAACGAAAACAATCACTAATTTCATTTTATAAAAGTATAAATTTTTTATCCGTAAGATATATTTTTAACTTTTGTGTATTTCTGAGTTGCTTTCTCGAACTCTGCGTTTAAATGATATAACTTCTATGCAGTTATGCACCTCTTTTATACTTCGTGATTTATCTTTTCACCTTAGAAAACAGCTTATCTCATTTGTAATTTGTTGCATTTAATGTAATCGTGAATTTAATAAATTTTAGATTAAAATGTATATTTTCTTTAATACTGTGAAATTGCGTACCGTTGTTTACAGCATTTGTAAAAGTCATCTTTGTTGTTTATTATTTGCAGATAAAATTGCGTTACACATTCTGTTATTTTATTTGCAACATACGTAAAATTTCATATAATTTATGGCGACGTACTTGAGCGATGTCAACGCGTCACTAAGATAGCGAACAACAACAATTCTGGGATGAATCATTTTTAGAGCGGATGTGCCAACACAGTTTTATAATAAATACTGTAAATCAAAAAGGGAAAGTTTAAACATGCAAAAGTGTTTTAGCAATGTTTGATCACGTTTGCCACCTTTAAATGAACCCAGTAAATAATGTTATAATTTTAAAAAGTCCAGAGATCTAGCCAATTATTTCGTTTGCATACACTAATTATAGCAAAATCATTCTAAACTTAATTTTTTAACTGGATATTAGGTTATGCTGGCAGACCAAAAAAGGCTACGCGTAGACCATTAAGGTCCATTCCGATACCAGATCAGAGTGCATCGCCTAGGGTATGCGTGTTAGTAGCGAATTTTATTAGGATTTCAATAGAAACTTCTGGCATGTGCTCCAGACTGGATTAGCTTTAGTTTGTGCGCATGTGAAGCGCCAAGACAGTGACCTATCAATACACCAATCAATGTTCTACAGTTCCTCCGGCTGGACAATTTTTTAAATAAAACTGTGATCTTTTTGTCAAATTTGCTTATTCAAAAATTTGTAACGAGACAGTCTAATACTTGCAAGTTCTAGCATAAAATTTGAAATGTTGCAATCCAATGATGATGCTTAAATATCTTTATTTTATTTGTTTTTACAAGCTTGCAAACATGTTAACCAATTAATAAGGCTTAACTAGATGTGTTAAACTAACTGTGTAATACACGCCAATGGATGGATACACGTGTCATTCTGTTAAAGCAACTATGTTCTATCATTAGTGCACTCAAAACTTGATGCTGAGTAGTTTACTAAGTTAAGAAACTTAGCAAACTGCATAACACCACATGCTTATGGCCTTGATCACTTAGGAATATATAGAAACGGAAACGTTGGGTGCTATATTGAACAATATATGAAGATTGTTCTTGTTCAGATTACCATCCATGAAGATGCCGGATCATCTTCTTAATTGTTTTATAAACCATTAAAGGTATATTATAGAATATATGAATACACGTGTCTGGTGAATTATGGAACGCTATATGAAGCACAACTAGAAATGCAAATAACATAGGAAGTTTCAAAAAAATTTTGGGTTCTTAATTTAAATTCTTTTGAAAACTTTTTAAAACTAATTTAAAACCTTAGTTTTTTACATTTTCTCTCTATGCGAAAATTGTTTATATTTTTCATGCATTATTTAGTTTTTGTAACATATTCTATTGTAATATATATTATTTTATTATAAAATTGTTTAATTAGTCTGTTATACTGTATCTTAACTTTAAGATAGTGCTAAGGATTTCCTTAATGCATCGAAATAAATAAAAAAATAAATATTATTTACAACTGATGTCAATCGAAAGATATTATCAGAATATCAGAATTATAACTTTTCAAATGAATTACACTACTATAAAAGCCAAATATAATTAACAATTTCCGTATAATACCACCTCTAATAAATCTAGAAATTCTCTAAGAACATCGAAATAACGTTTTTTCTTGTATTAAATATTTTTAATATTTCATGTTGCTCTTTATTTGAATAAACTTCTAGTCTCGCTCTAGTTGTGTTTTCATTATAAAGTTGATATAAAAAATTGATTATAATGTTTTAATCATTATCGAGCATTACTATATCATTTTAAAAATGTTCTACCCATAAATTTGTTATTCTTTCCTTTTCTCAAATCATTAAATTTAAAAATATTTATAATAATTTTTCATTATTATTATTGTACAACTTTGAACTGCACTATTTACACAAGTCTGTTCAGTGAACGAAACTCTTTCATATGTACTAAATTTTGTTTTTTCATTACACATTTGATATATTATAAAGGATTTATTGCTATGATATTTTACACCCAAATTTTAATATTTTAACATTTATTTTGTACTTTAATATAATAAAGTATTTATAATTTATTTACTAAACATTAACATTTGTTTAAATTTCATTAAAATTGCAAGCGTGCGCTTAACACACTAAACATGCTTCTAATGTATTTGCATCTGGAATTGCAAATAGTTAAAAAATTATCGATTTGCTACACAAGACGAGAGTGAAAAGAAAAACGGAAAGTTTGTTAAAGTAGTGTATTTTAGCACGGAAAAATTATTTCAAAGTAAAAAATAAATAATTCATAAGTACAGAAAGTGAAAGCGAATTTTTTTTTTATAGTTGTTAAGCAAAAAACTAATTTTTCGAAAATGGCTTTCGCCGGACTAAAAAAGCAAATCAATAAGGCTAATCAGTATGTTACGGAAAAAATGGGCGGGGCAGAAGGCACAAAACTGGACATACTTGATGAAATGGAAAGAAAAACTGACGTAACCGTCGAGTTGGTGGAGGAGTTACAACTTAAAACAAAGGAATTTCTACAACCCAACCCCACTGCGAGGGCGAAAATGGCAGCGGTCAAGGGTATCTCAAAATTGTCTGGACAAGCCAAATCAAATACGTATCCTCAACCCGAAGGTCTTCTGGCAGAATGCATGTTAATGTATGGTAAAAAGCTAGGCGAGGACAGTAGCATGTTCGCGCAGGCGTTAATTGAATTTGGTGAAGCGCTCAAACAAATGGCTGATGTTAAATACTCGCTGGACGATAACATTAAGCAAAACTTTCTAGAACCATTGCATCATTTGCAAATGAAAGATTTAAAAGAGGTTATGCACCACCGAAAGAAGTTACAAGGTCGCCGTCTCGACTTCGATTGCAAACGTCGCCGACAGGCAAAAGATGATGAAATTCGTGGCGCTGAGGATAAGTTTGCCGAGTCACTCCATCTTGCGCAGATGGGGATGTATAATTTGTTAGAAAATGATACCGAACAAGTATCTCAACTTGTCACCTTTGCTGAAGCGCTTTACGATTTTCACTCTCAGTGTGCTGACATACTGCGTGGTTTACAGGAGACTTTGCAAGAGAAGCGAGAAGGATCAGAGTCACGCCCCAAAGCTGACTTTATTCCTAAGACTTTGTTAGACTTAAATTTAGATGGTACTGGTACCAATGATACGGATGGCACACCAACACATATTTCGTCCGCTGCCTCGCCATTGCCCTCACCTATGCGCTCGCCTGCTAAGCCCTTGGCAGCTGCCACACCGCAACGACAACAACAACCTTGCTGTCAAGCTTTATATGATTTTGATCCAGAAAATCCTGGTGAATTAGGTTTTAAAGAAAATGATATTATAACATTACTAAACCGCGTTGATGAAAATTGGTATGAAGGCTCAGTCAATGGTCGCACTGGTTATTTTCCACAGTCATATGTACAGATAATGGTGCCATTGCCCAATGGCAATTAAATTTGTGGGCTAACTCTGAGAGCAAAAACCCATTTACAAACTAGTTGAAAAACAATAATTAATTAAATTTACAATTTAAATGTTAAATTAAAATTAAAATTAAATTATATTAATTAATATTATTAAATTTCAATGAAAATTAAAATATTTAAAATTCAAATTAAACTGCTTCAGATGAAAAATTTTAATATGATGTTTGTATTTTATTAAATGATTAAATGAGCTACAATTTACTACTCCAAATCCTTCTTATCCTTGTATTCCTTATTACATTGTGTGTGTTATTTTGTTATTTATATTAAATATTATTAAGCATATTATATACATGTATATTTATTACTATTAACTTATGTACGTTTAAATGCGAAACAAGTATCCTTATTACTTTTTAAATTAATAATCTAAAAAAATAAATGTAAAAGAATAAATAAACAAATTAACAAATGAAAATAAGAAAAACTGAAAACATATTAAACATATAAATATTGCAAACAATTATGAATGAATATAAATAGTCAAGGTGTCTCATGTTGGAATATAAAAACAATAAATATATTTAAAATATGTAAGCTACTCAATGCAATTACGATGAACTAATACAATAATTATTATAAATATGATTAAAAAATGTAATACAATGATTACCCTATATACTATATTTAATTATATATTATATGCATAAAGAATTATTAAATTTAAATGAAAAAAAAATACGGCAAACAAAATTAAAAAATTAATAAAATTTATTTTTAATGTGTCTTTCGTTCAATCATAAATATTTTTGTTTTTTTTCATTATGTTTTTTCCAATATAATTTTTCCGACAGCGTCAGCAAATTAAACATATACGTGTATACAGCCCCGACACATCTACCCCCGAATAACTTTTAATATTTCAATTGTGGGCGGAAAATGCCTTCTTTTGGTGACAGCATCATCAAAATTGTGTTCTATTTATTTCTGCTATTGACTTTTGCTTTTGATGTGCAATATTTGTTTACAAACAATACAAATTGAGCAACATCTCAAAACAAACAAGATGCTTAGCAACATGTCGTGTGTCGTTTTGTTTCTGTGACATAAACAATTCCCTTGTATCTTCAGCAGTATACATAATACATATGTATTCATTAATATATTAATATTTCATACAATGAATTGCAACCCAGAATTTTGAAAAGAAAATCTTGGAAATTATTAATTTCACATATAATATTTAAAAATTGTTCAAATAAGTATGGAATTAATTTATATAGAATTTGTGAGAAGAGAAAAGTATTAATGAATCTATATTTATTTTGTCAACAACCTGTTGGTTTCACCTTAAAGGTGTACAATACTCTATATAAAAAAATTATTATAAATACTATATGAAACTTATGTATATGTATGTATATGAGAATTAATGGAACTTTTGTTAGTAATGAAGATCTTGAACAAGACTTTCTGTTCAACATTTTAAATCTACAAATGTCATAATTAAAATTGTTTTATGTATTTCAATATAATTGAAAAACCAAAAGTTTAATTTTGAATAAGAAATTTATATTATCAAATTGCTTTACTCATACTAATATATGCAATAATATTATCTGAACTTTATACTGTTGTTTCAGGTGGTTGTATCAGTTATATCAGCACTGGCGTTAGGGAGTTTATTGATAGCTGTAATACTAATAAATTATTATAAAAGTGTTATCGATGTATAGGACTTACTAAATATTTGATATTTTTTAATTATTTCATTATATTACAGTATAATACATTATTATTAATAAAAGGCATGTTAAGTGCTTTAGATATTTCTAATGCAGTGAAGGAAACGTTTAAAAGCATATTAGGCATTAAATATATAAATCGATGAAGTAACGACCGTTCATCTATAATTATGTAAACTAATCAGGATTCGAGCTTCAATTGAATGCAATTTTACACTAAGACAGTCTAAGATTAGAAAACAAGGCTAAAATTAGTTGTAAATATCATATAATGCTATTACAAAATAAATTCAATAAAGGATTTTGGATTTTACGAAAAAAGTGTTCCCAAAGGCAGATTTCTTTCACCGATCTTTTTTTTACTTTACATGTCTAACATGTCTCCCAGACATGTATAATCTTTACAACGAGCCAGGGTCCCTTTATATTATACAATAAATTGGATACATACCTCCCCTATGTTGCATAATTTTTGGCTGATAAAAATTTTCACCTATCGCCAAATAAATCCACAGCCACTCTCTTTGCTTCCAGGACTATAGAAGTATCCAATACTCTGTCCATTAATATCGGTGAATTCAGGATCCCCACAACTAACAAACCCAAAATCCTAAGTATCGTTCTCGGCAGTATGTTTATCTTTTCCGCCGCACATGCCTTAACCTTGTGCAGCCGATTGAAATCTCGCAGTAATGTGTTAAAAGCGCTCGGAAGATGCTCTTGGGGTAAAGACAAAAAACCCTTTTGAGCAGTTCAGTTATATGTTATTTCATTAATAGCCTCACAACATACACACATACTAATAATATTTAATAATAATAGTAGTAAAGTTAATAATATAGTTCAATAATGTAGTTATAGTTGTACTATAGTTACAATATGCTAAATCGATCGGTAATTCCGATCTTTACCAAAAGATGTTTTAATTACATCAGAACTAAATTTTCAATAGAAGATAAAATGTAAATTGCGTTTCTATTTTAATCCTTAAATATATTATATTTGGAAGTAACCATCAAAATAAAATTTGTATAGGTTTCCATAATACCTTTTTAACAAACCCACAAGTATTAACAAAGCAAGTCAGAAAATTTAAATTATTTAAAAATAACGATAATAAAATTTATTAAATAATACATTGTAGATAATATAAGTGTAATTCTTAAAATAAAAATGTATTTGAATATGAGAACAGTTTCCTATAATTACTTTTTGAAAAGCCCACAAATATTAACAAAGTAAGTCAGAAAATTTTAATAATAAAAATACAATAGTATATATCAATAAAAAGTTTCGAACATTTTGTTTAGTAGTCTATAATCCATATATTCTACATAATTCGCAATGGATTATACAGAGATACTTTCTAGCGAAATCACTATGATTGTGTAAGTCTTGAAAATATTAAAAAAGTAAATATTTTGTAATGTTTTTTTCTTTTGAATGCTATTGAATTATTAAAATTGGGTGCCAACATTTTTCATTTCTTTCTATTTAATATATTATTTTAAAATATACTACTTCAGTATGATTTCAGACACATGCATCGAAACTGATTAATCACATATAAAACTAAACTATAAAATAAAAATTCCGTAGATCTTCACCAAAATATTTGGGTAAAATATAATTCACCACGATTTGATAAATGTCTGCGATGCCTTAAGTACATTTAATGTTGGCAATGCTTTCCGCAGGTTAGCTGTCAAATGACGTTGTTTCGCTTATTCGAGAGAAGCTTCCCACTAGTTGAGGGCACGTCGGTGTCAAATAGCGGATTGAGAAAGTGTTAATTATTTATTAATTTTTTTCGAATTATGTATTAAAAATTTATTTTGTAATTAACTATTAAATTCTAATTGCAAAAGTTTCCGTAAATTCGTTTAGCGAATCGTACTAAATTGTTTATTTATTGAGTGAAAAACCGTGACGAAATAAATCCAAAAATAAATTTTTGCTTGCGTGATTCATTTTGGGGCGGCATAAATTCCATAGCAAATATAACACAAAACAGTACAAGTCTAAATATTTATATATATATCCTTCAATATTAAAGTAATTCGTTAAAGTTTAATATAAAATTTTAGTAAGAAACGGATAAGATTTGCTGAAATGTTTAGCTTTCTCAAACGCGAAAATAAGAACCAGGAGGTTGTGGAAAATGTAATTGGCGAATTGAAAAAAATTTACCGAAGCAAACTTTTACCTTTGGAGGAACATTATCACTTCCATGAATTTCATTCGCCAAAACTTGAGGATCCTGATTTCGATGCGAAACCAATGATTTTATTGGTTGGTCAATATTCAACGGGTAAAACCACTTTCATACGTTATTTGTTAGAAAGAGATTTTCCTGGAATACGTATTGGTCCCGAACCAACAACTGACCGTTTTATAGCGGTTATGTATGATGAGAAAGAAGGTGTAATACCCGGTAATGCATTGGTAGTTGATCCTAAGAAACAATTCCGGCCACTCAGCAAGTACGGAAATGCTTTTCTCAACAGGTTTCAATGTTCCTCAGTAAACTCACCAGTGCTACATGCTATTTCAATTGTAGATACTCCTGGTATATTGTCTGGTGAAAAACAACGCATCGATCGTGGTTATGATTTTACGGGTGTACTTGAATGGTTTGCTGAACGTGTCGATCGTATTATATTACTTTTTGATGCACATAAATTAGATATATCAGATGAGTTTCGAAGGTCTATTGAAGCCTTGAAGGGTCACGATGATAAAATAAGAATCATATTAAACAAAGCAGATATGATTGATCACCAGCAACTGATGCGAGTTTATGGTGCACTTATGTGGTCACTTGGTAAAGTATTACAAACACCAGAAGTAGCGCGAGTTTATATTGGTTCTTTCTGGGATCAACCATTGCGTTATGATGCTAATAGGCGACTTTTCGAGGATGAAGAACAAGATCTTTTCCGCGATTTGCAATCACTGCCACGTAATGCAGCTTTACGCAAATTGAACGATTTAATAAAACGGGCGCGATTAGCTAAAGTACATGCATTTATCATATCCGAATTACGAAAAGAAATGCCTAGCGTGTTTGGTAAAGATAGCAAAAAGAAAGATTTAATTAAGAATTTAGGACAAATTTATGATCGCATCCAACGTGAACAGTCAATATCTCCTGGTGATTTTCCTGACATTAAAAAAATGCAAGATGTCTTACAGCATCAAGATTTCACAAAGTTCCATTCTTTGAAACCACACTTTTTGGATGTTGTCGAGAAAATGCTTGCAAATGATATAGCCAGATTAATGGAAATGATACCGCAAGAAGAGATGACGCATATCATTGAACCAATGGTTAAAGGTATATTAAAGTTAATAAATATGCATTTATATAATATTTTCATATATTTCTATTAACACAGATATTTATTTTTCTGCATATAATTTTTTATTTTACTCTTCTCTTTTTATATTCCTTCTGTCCGATATTTTCATGTCATTCGGTGCTGTCCAGAAGTTACAGGTAAACTGAGTCAGCAATTCTTAAAGTTCATTCACTTTCTTTGCTGTTAGCACAATTTTAATTTGTTTTGACAGCATAATTCTGGTTTAATTGCAAACTTGTTTCATATTTGCATATTACAGAATCCAAAAATATAATATATAACACACATTACCAAAAAGTATTTACTCATTAATAATGCACTTGCTCCGTTCTCAACTTTTATTGCACTTTTGGTGTTCATTCTGTTCATATATTAAAGTTTGTCCTATCGTCAAGCAAGTAGACGAACAGATTGATTTTGGTTTACTAATTTCTATATCTGAATGTGGTCATCAATTTACTGTATAGTAGTATAAAATCATGTTGCCATTTAAATATCTTTAATCGGATATAATATCTTGGTTGTTTATTTCAATTATTATGGACTAGAACTTAAATTTAAGGTAGTCCTTTTGTTTCAATAAATATTTAACTTATATCCGTTGACGGTTTGGTTCTTTTATGTATCATATTGTTTTACATTATGTTCTTACTAACACTTAAAAATTTATTGTCTCTACATTTAATAATCATTCTGCATATATGATCCTATTACCATATGACGACCATAAACTAAACTAACTCTCTTATCTAAAGTTGTAAGTCTGTTGCATTTCAAATAATCTATACTTAAAAGATGTGCAACTTATGGATTTTATTGGACATAAGGATCGTGTCAAGACATATATGCAGTTTGTTGAGGTACCATAACGCATATTGTAAGTCACATTGTAACATTGGTCTTTGACGTTTCTCTTAAATTTATAAATTTGCTTATTTAAAACAGATATATGTATATTATTGCTGAGTACATGATCAAGGAAACTTAAATTAACGTTGTACGTTATTTGTAAAAAATGTGTAAAAACTGTTGATATTCTAAGTCAAATGGATTTAAATTTCATATTTAAATTTTTTCAAAATAAAAAAATGCTTAACGCCTCTTTATAAAGTATTAAAGTCATACTTTAAATCTTACTCAATTAAACTCAAATCACTTACTATGTACACCTCTTCTTTAATTCACTCACGTAAGCGGTTAATGCTTAGCCAAATATATACATTGAAAGAAATAAGCAGTAGTCAAATTGCAAGTAAATCCCACAAAAAAAAAAACTAAAAAAAGTGCCAGATAACAGCACTAAGCAAAAGAATACATAAAAAGAAGAAAATAATATGAAGTAATTTTACAAAAAAATTTCTTAAAGAAACGTCTGTATAAACATTATCAATGTTAAAAAAATTATTTTTAAATAACAAACAAAAAAAAAACCTTTTAATACATTTATGTATCTTTTTTTGTCATCTGTATATGGCCTAATACTACTCTATAAGTGATTAAAAATCTTATTAAAATCAAATATAATAAGTAAATTCCTTTCATTGTATTCACTCAAGCACTCAATTTTCTTAACTGCTTTCATACTTAATACAATTGACCTAGTTAACAAATACTTTTGAACAAATCTGCAAAACATACATATATACATACAAACAAAACAAGTTTAGATCAAATGATTTTGCAATTCTAAAAAGTATCTCAAAAACGTAAACGAGTAAAGTATAACACAAAAAAAATATATATAAAATTAGGTATGAATTATATAAAGAAGCACTAGTTTTAAACTTTGACTGGAATTAAATTAAAACTTGTTGTATTAATATACTGATATAGATTAAAACAATGTTTAATCTCAATAATGGATTAATAATGGAAGTTCAGTATTACGATTAAAACATATGATGATAAATGATATTCATAAATATATAATAAATATATACAAGTAATAATGAGTAATTATTTACAAAACCTTTCCTAAAGATTTACTTCCAATTGGTGTTATTATTGAATAATAAACCTTTATCACATTAGACAATATGTGATCTATTGTAAAATATAATAGATTTCAAAGGCAGTAAATGGTGTGGTATCTCATACAGAACCCAAAATATTTTTTAAACATTTTATCACTTTTTATCTCGCTATTTCTACGGATTTTGTTTGGATTTATATTGAATTTGTATTATAAAAACTTAGTTGTAAATTCCTTTAATTAATTTGTAACAAAAACATTGGAATTAAGTATTTTTTAAAAATAATGAGATAAGTGGGTTTGCCTTCCGTAGCCATCACTTACCTTTTAAGAGAGACTCAAAAAGCAGTTTAAGCCAATCTAAGACATATTTCTTCTTAGCAACATAACTTTAAACACCGGTGTTCTGAAGAAAAGTTTAATTTACACATTTTACTTAATTAAGATGTTAAAAATTTAAAAATATTTAAAGTAAAAATATCTAACACGCTCTATGAAGATAAGTGGAATCTACAACATTTTTGATAAGAAATAAAAACTACAATTTTTCCCAAATATTTTTCGCTAAAAGTAATTAAAAAGCCAATTTACAGAAAGATGGTCGCTACTTTAATTTTGATAATTTTGATAATAAATAAACTCTTTGGTTTTTGATTATAAAAATTAGCAATAAAATATAAATTCATATAAATAAGTTTATTGTCTTTCATAATTTCATTATGTAATATATTTTAACAGTTCATTTTTTACTGATAAGCGCTGATAAAGAACTTTGTCTCTAAAGCACTTGGGTAGACGATGCTCATTTTGCTTACTGTATTCGCTAAAGTTTGTTGATATAGCGCTTTAAAAAAAAAAGTAGTACACCTTAGAATAACACACTTTACTTACGCAAAAGTAAATAGAAACAAAAAAAAATATAATAATATCTTAGGTATTTATATATTTCGTTTACTTTATTTATCAGTAGTACATAACTGAGCTTACGCCAACTGATATGAGTTAGAGTCATGCTGTATGACGCGGCATATCTACTATATGTCTGATAAAAGTGATATCGAAAATTTGCAAAATGATGTAATATTATAAAGGATGGTGTTTAAAAATACTATATTAGTTGCTTGAAAAGATATTTATATTTTATAAATATTCGAAATATCCTCAAAGTTAATCACTTTTCGAAAAACTTATTAGAACTCATTTGTATTATGTCAGAAATTATATTTCTCTTATTTAAAGCAGTATTTGCAATATAAGAAAAAATCAAATAAAAGGCTGACAGAACATGTTAGCAAGGAATTTCGAACTTCTATCCATTACTTACCACCTAAAAAGAGCTGACCATCTAGCCATTAATTAAAATTCGACAGCTTCAAGTAAAAACCCCACTTTTCTTTGTAGTAATCTGATAAAGCTTACTTAAAACACCTTACATTCACTCCAATAAAATTTAACGCATTGATTTAAGTGAGGTCCGTGATATAAGGTTTACTTATTTTATTTAATATTATACAATGTATAGTTAAAATAAATAATTGTAATATTATGTAATTAGTGATAATATTTTAAAACTCATTGTTACCCTCATTGTAAGAGAAGATACAATAAATAAATGTATAAGTATTTAAAAAAAAAAAGAAATTATTTAGTAGTTCAAGATCAGTTTTTTAAATCATTCTAATTGGATTCCATCTAATGCTACTTACTTGTAGTTATCAGGTTTAATAACATTGAAGATAAGATTAAAAAAGCATAAAGTGCAATTCAAAATATCATAACAATAAATCCTACTGGATTTAGAGCTTTATTAAGTTTATATTAATTCAGTATATTAATTGAGACTTAATATAACTCCTTGGTCCTTTGAAGTTTCGCTCTTCGCTAGAACGATGAAACCTAAGAATTGAAATTCAATTCTTCTGCTTCAAACATTTTTATTGAATGGATTTATTTTTATTTTATATTAACTAATATTATTTTATTATAAACTATTATGTTATAATATTATACTTGTTCTTCTCATAATTTCCGGTTAAAAACTCCTGCATTCTTTTTAATTGTTAATAACTCTTTACAAATATATATAATTTGTTAACAGAACTTAAAAATTTGTTCCAATGGTTTCAAACGACATATATTCTATAAGTCAAAGTGAATCACTCTAACATAATCAAAATTAACAAATTGCTTCACACTTCAAAGCGTACCCCAAAATCCATCCAAATGCATGTGGAAAAGCACTAGGCATGACAAGTCAGTTCCCCCAAATATGTGTGTAAACTATAATAAATTTAATGAAATACTAAATCCAAGCTAACGTGTCTAAAAAATATTTGATAAATATAAATAATTGCGATAAAAAATAATTTAAGCGCTATAAATGTTCCAATTTATAATAGAAATAAATTATTGTTTATAGTTTTGTAGTATAAAATGTTAAAGAAAAATTTGAAATTCAAATAAAACTTTATCGTAAATTAGTACTTTTCAATATCTATTAGCTTTTATTTATATTTGCATTATATAAAAACAAATTACTTCAAAATATCTCCTTAGGTCCCATTGCTAGAAAGGTTATCGTTATGTCATCGAAGCAGTTACTTTAATTACTTTTTCAATAAATTTATTACTACACTTTGCTTACAATTATAGATTTAGTGGAATAGTATTTTTTGTTTTATTTAATACCCTTCATACATACTTTAAAAAGGTTGTATTAAAATTGTTAAAGTGTTTATAACGCAATAAGTGACATATCAGGACATTATATAAATCACTACATTGTTGATCAGTATCTCAAGGAGGGTTTATTTGGCGATGTTGGATTATCTATCAGTCAGTCTATATACGTTTTTCTTATATTTGATTGAGATTTAGAACAAGAATTTGTCATGAATTCACGTAATTAAAGGCGACAATTTAATAAATAAAATATGAAGGTAGATTGAATTTTAGGAAAAAAACAAATTAAAAATAAATGGGAAAAAATGTAACAAAATAATTTTTTTATTTTAATAATTTAGTGTGTGAAGTCATTTATAAATAAATAAAAACTATTTTGACGTAAAATCCAGTATTTATAAACATAAACTCATTGTCTGCAGTTATACTGTACACTATTACACGATTAAGTCACGCAATGTGATCTATTTGTCAATTGTATCT